AGCTGCCTAGAGCTGAATTACTACACTGTGGCATAAAAAAGGGAATTTCATGGACTTTTGTGTTGATGCTCATTTGTTACGTTGTTTCTGTCACATTGAAAGCTGCTTTTGTAGTTTTCTGAAATTTATGTGTTTCAACATTCTTTACAGATCATAAAAGTCCATTAATTAAGATTGTATTGTTTTTCCAAAAATGTGTACAGTGGCTGACATACAGTTTGTCTATAAACATTAGTAAATGTTTTAATAATCATTAATAAAGCCATTAATTACAACTTCAAAATCCTTTACAAAGGGTTCCTTCCTAGAAAGTGGCGCCCAAAATTTAGACCACGATGACAAGCAAATCCAAAGCTTAATTGTATAACAGAACATAAATGACAATAAGAGTGGCACATAGGAAGGGGAACACAGAGCTGCAGAGTGGAGAGAGATGGAGAAAGCATGAGAGAGAGAGAAAGAGCAGATGCTGAGAACGTGGCCTGGTCGATAAAAGCGATGGAGTTACTCCTCTGCACTCTCGGGTTTCTCTGGTTGACCTCTACGAGTGCTGATCACATTCTGCCGCAGAACAGGCACACACACGTGCACACAAGCACACAAGCACACACACACACACACACACAGGAATGCACACATGTACCCGGTACATATTCACCAACACACAGACACATTCAGGGGTGTGTTCAGTCAGGAGCAAGTGGACAGAAAAATGAGATGGTTCATGTAAAGGTAGGTAAAACAAAAGAAATCGCAAATGTCAAAAGCAGATCAGCAAAACAGGGGCAACAGCATTCTTCAGCACTCACTTGTGCTCATTGTAACAACATGAATACTTTAAAAATGTCCATCATTGGTGAAGGCATTTCAGGTTTTGTTGGGCAGGTCTTGGCAGCAGTCTCAGCTGCACTCAGGTGTAATGACATATAATAAAAATACACAACTTGCTTGTGTCGGAAGCTCCTCCTTTCCTTTTTAGTTTGAATCCAAAGTCAGCTTTCAAAGCGTAAGGTGTTGAAACAGCAACAACACCTGTTTGCAAGAGGTTGGAATAACGAGTTTAACTCAGGTGTGGCTGCTGCAGAGAACCCCACACATACACACTTTGAACACAGATTACACACACACTCCCACTGTATACATAAACACTCGTGTGAGGGCACAGAGCAACGACAACAACATAGTTCTTTTTATATAGTTACTCATTTAATGCTGGCAAGTACACATGTGCCCAGATTTCCTGTCACAAGTTAATTATTAACAGACAAACCCAGGAGGAAAGTCCCGGTAATTTTACTAACAACCATATAATGGAACAAATGGTTTGTTCAGAGGAGCTGCTGATCCTGTAATTTTGACAGCTCCATGCCTTTCAAGTTTTATGATTTTAATGACAAGCTACTGCCACATTTTGGCAATGGGAACAGCAGCATGTGTTTAAATTTGCACTCTTACAGTTTTAGAATACATATGATGTACATGCTACAGTGGGGATGCAACTAAGGATTAATAATTAATCTTATTTTCATGAGTGAAAAATGCCCATCATAGTTCCTCGGAGACCAAAGTGATGACTTCAGATGCCTTCTTTGGTCTGAACAAGAGTCTAAAACCCAAAGATATTTAGTTTACTGGAATATGAGACAAAAACAAGTTTTCATGATCATCAAAATATTTCATATTAATTTTATGTCTTTTCAGCTCTACTGTCTGTCTCATTTGGCCTTAGGACCAGGGCTAGAACACCATAGAAGACCAATTTGAGACATTTTTTTAAAAAAAAGTAATATATAACGTATTGCTTAGAAATACTGGATTAGATAAATTAAAAAGATATTTCAGATGTCAAGAGACAAATATGTGTGATGGAAATTGTGCAGTGTATTCCTATTGGACATGTGATTTCCATATATTGATCCACATTTAAATGTTGGAATGAAATAATCTTATTTCAAGTGTATGTATTTCTACTCGTCTTAAAGAGTAATCTTGATGGCACAAAAGGCTTTCTTATTCTTTTTACTCCTTCCAAGATTTTGCATTATTTTTCATTTTCTAAGTCAGTATAGTAACACAGTGTATTGGTACTTTCCATCATTATGTCCTGAGCTGTACATCTCTTCCTATTTACCTTCAACATAGCTTTTTCTTCCCATTTGTCTCAGCTGCTACATCTTTGTGTTTACCATTTTCTAAAATTTCACACATGCCTTTTGTTTTACTGGCGTCTGATATTGATGCATTTTTGATAAATGGATAATCATTGCTGAGCTGATCACTAAAATGTCTTGACATGATAACTCTCTGTGAGAGCATTGGTCTGGTAACCACTGAGCTCTGTGTGGACTGGAAAGAAGCTGAGCTAAGCAGGAGGAGGTCAACCCGCAGTGAGGCCAGACCATCCAATGTGAGAGATTGAGCAAGTGGCTCAGGAAAAGGCACTTAGGGCCTTGATTTAGCTGTTAATTATAGAGGGAGGGAGGAGGGAGAACACAGTAATGATGCAGAGACGTGGGGAGAAAATGGATGGATGGTTAATGAAAAAAAAAAGACTAAAAAGACGTAACCAGAAAGGTTAGACAAAAATGATAGTGTTTGCTTTCAGAGAAGGCGCTTTGAAAGAGAAATTTGGTTGAGCGAGGGAGAAAAAGTGCCGTCCACCTGACCGTAGGACTGATTGACCGAGAATGAAATGCCTGATAGGAGTGAGCAAGAGAATAGCTTGAGGCAAAATGGATAGAGAGAGGATTGACAGATAAAAAGATGGGGAGGGGGCATTTGTGCTGGACAAAGAGGATCTCTGTCAATGAATGGTGTCTGATTTCGAGTATGTTTGTGTTGATGGGAGGTCAAGGCAGCCAAGGAGAGACAGACAAACCATGGTAGTGATGGTGGTGTGTATGTGTCTGTGTTTGGCTATGGGGGGGATAGTGAAGAGGATGGGAAGGAATTTGATATGTTGCAATGCATCAATAGCATCCTCTCTGTGTTTCTTAGGGTCTTTTTGTTCACAGATATATTCACAATATATTGGTATTTTTATTCAGAAAACTCCACCCATTTAGCATCACACTCATCCGACGCCATCCACTACCATTATGCAAATATCGTCTGTCAAGATAAACATTTGGTGGCTAAATCTCCAGTCTGGTGTGTTTAAACTGTTGCAGAAGAAGAGGGTGCAACAAGATGATGGAAATATAAGGTTTATGATTGTTTCATCTATGGAAGAGGGGGGGTGTTGTGGCTTTAGCTAGCCAGTTGTAACTGTGCCATGACGAGTGAGCTGAAAGGTCACTTAACAGCAGCACATGGTTCACTGAACCCAGTGGGAAACAAGTATGAAACTGGCTTAGGACCAATGCTAACAAATTAGCAGCAAAACAAACAGGCAGTTGTGACATCCTTGAATAGTTTATATTTACAAATACTGCACGTATTAAAATTCACTTGCCATGTGTCACATGTCAAATACAATTGGCACAGTGTAGTGGATAACCCTGCAAGGCAGCAAGTTTCCTGTTAGGCTTCAGTGTAATATGATACCAATGTCATTTTAAGTATTTTAGTGAAAAAAATCAATGGCTTTACAGGTTAATGATTAAGAATGATGGACATCTGGCACAATAACTTAACAGGATGTTCAGTGTATTGGTGTTGCCTTAAAGTACTTATCACATCCTCCTTCAGCTAAACGGCCCAAAGCAGCTGTGCATCCATCTAAATAAGCATTCATTAAAAATGTTTTCGCCTCATTAGTGAAAAATGGCCACCTTGCACTCAGCAACTCTCCTGGGGTATTTAGAGGCCTTGCAAATCAACGGGATGATTTCCTGTTGTTGATGTGAGTAACTGTAAGTAAGTGACAGGCGAGGATAGGTTTCCACATCCGTGGTGAGGAGTGAACAGGTCTGTTTAGCGTTAATGGTTGGAAGAAAGTGGGAAGAACTGGATGGACAAACTTGCTTTTACCCTCGTTAATGGCTGCCTAGGGAGAAAGGGAAATTACCAAGTGATGTGGTCTGTAATGTGTGTGTGGGTGCACTTGTTGTATGTGGGCAGCATAAGAGACATTTATGGTTACACTGGCTATGGTGGATAGAAGAGAAAACAGTGACAGGAGCTTGAAGATACAGTAGATGACCTATGTCTCAGTGTCATGTTTGTAGCTGTATTTAAATCTTGGACACCATTTTCCAAACATATTTTCAAGCTTAAAATATCCTGATCAGGGTATCAAAGAATCTATAGCTGCTCCTGATGGAGGGGCAACCCCTGTTTTTGAGGAATTTATCTATGATCTTAAGTCCAAGCAAAGAAATTCAATTCAAAAGTTATTTCTTGAAATTCCATTGTTTGACTAATGCTGTGTCCCAATTCCACATAACATTAATTCTAAAGTGGTTTTATGTAGGGAGGTCACACATGGATCGAATGATTACACAAACTATGTATAATTTCCACAGAGCTTTTTAGCATCTTTCAGCTCATTGTTGTGGTTTTAGGGTATGCAACTTTGATTCATTTCTGCCATAGCAAGCAGCTATTTTAAGCAAGAAAAGAAAAAAACATTTCTGTACACTACCTTCCCAGCACCAAACAGAAGACAACGTTACAGACTAGCTAGTGAAAATACTGGAGGATTTAGCAACGACAGTATAGGATATTTCCAGGAGGTGTTGCTGGTTAGGAGTTGGTGGAGACCAAAACAGTGATAAAAGGCAAATTACTTATGGTGGCTAGAAACATGACATCAGGTGAATGCTAATGTAGCTCATTATCTGCTGAATGCATAAACAGCAACTATTTGTGAACAAGTTTGCCATTGTATGTTTACAGCCAGTTTCTACTGCCCCCAAGTGGCCAAAAAAACAGTTAATGTAGCTTTAATTGACTTACTATCGAAAATGTGCAGTAAATGACTGTCATTGCAGTGTTGCTTTGGTTTCATATATTCAGGAAGCTCATATAGATTTTCTCTATCAATTTGTCTTTCACAGTTCGCTACATGACCACGCCATTCATAGATTCATCCACGTCCATCTATGAAGACCTTCTATCAGAGGGCCCTACAGACAGCACCACCACTACCACCAACGGTGATTCCCAGGAGCGGCTCTATCAGGGTCTGAACGACAAACTCATTCCCATCTACTGCTCGATCCTTGCAGCCGTCGTGGTTGGCCTCGTGGCGTTCATCATCTTCAAGAAGTAAGGACAGAAAAGAGCATGAAACAGAATTTGAAAATGATGCACTATGATTCCTGATGAACCAAAGTAGTTGCCAGTAAGAGTGATGTATTTTCAAGTTGCCCCTTTTTCAGAAAGACAAGCATGACAGTGTTTCGTAAGAACAAATTGTAGGCTGAAAGAATTTTTTGGGTGGACTGCAACAACTGGGCTGGCAATATAATCACGAATGTCCATGAATGACGGCCGTAATCCTACATATCCTAAATTCTGAGAAAAAAAACTGAAAGGAGAGAAAAGTCAGTTGGAATTATTGAAATATACAGTCTGAGACCCATTCTGGGAAAGTGGTCTCAGATTTTTCGACCCCACTTTGTATAGATTTTTTTGTCTTTTTGACCCTTCAAACTTATCCTTGAACACTGAAGGGAAGTGAAAGGAAAAGAAAATGCATCTGAAGCTCATTACAAATGCATATAAACAACAAAACCCAATCACATTTACAATTTCCCCAGTTTCATATTTTATGAAATCATGCTTTTCTGGATGAGAGCACACTGTTGTCCTGTGGGTCACAATACAGCCTGTTTACTCTCTTTTATAGCCGAGAGGCTTCTCTCTTTATGTCTACAGACACCCAACTGTTTACTGCTTAAATATTGAATACACAATATGTTTATCTGACTGTGTTGTATGGCATGGCAAGTGTTGCAAGTCTATACATTCAAACACAGAAGCCTTGAGACAGACCCAAACATAGGTGGGTAAACAGGGAAGCTGACAGCAGGAGTTTAACCATTTAGCTGCGACTGTCTCACTGAATATCTTTGAACTAACTTACTATATGAAGTGAATTGTGAGGAGGACGATTTACCTTCCGTCATCACTTCTGTTTGAATATTAATATCTTTCAAATTCTGAAGAACTTACCTCAGTGTAAACTAGTTTTATTACCATATTTTGATCACTGTGTAATATTCTGTGTAATAGGCATTACAGATCATGGTTAGGTGTTCTTGGCAGAGCAAGTAACCACAATCTGTTATGAAATGGCACACCTACTAAGTATTGATAATAATGTCAGATTATGCAAGCCTACTTTTTTTTTCTTTTTTTCTTTTTTTTTTTTTTTTTAAATCGAGGTGTTTTTTTTAGCTGGTATGGCTATGCACAAATCCTTACTGATTGCAATTTAATGAGGTTTTTTTCTGCACCAGTGAGATACTTGAAAGGCATCAATTTTTTCATTCACATTCCTAATTTCAGATGTTATCCATGACGTTTCATACATTTTTCCCCTTGTTTTTTCTTGTGCGTTTCCTTTGGTCAGTTTGTTCAATTCAAGTGTCTAAAGGACAAAGGGTGTCCTATGCTGTGCTAGGCAAATTTGTTATTTGTGATATTGGGCTATATAAATAAAACTGATTATTCAGTATAGTTTTTGGCTATAGCAGGTGAGTTTTTTTCAACAAAACAGCTAATATAAACTGTGTACACTACCTGCTCAGCGCCAGTGAGTAGCTGGTAAACATAGTGGAGCATTTAGCAGCTAAAGAGTCAGATATTTCCCTCAGGAGTTGGTGGAGACCAAAATCAGAGGTAAAAGGAGATTGAAAATGAATGTTAATGTTGCTCTGTTGCTTTTGTACTGTTTGCTAACAAGTTTGCTACATCAAATGATATGTCAGTGTTGTGTTCACAGCTTGTTTCTGTTGCCCCCATGAAGCCAAAAGATTTGTCATTGCAGGTTAAAATAGGTACTTAAATAACTTCTACAGAGGGATTTGGATCAAGCTTTTTTCCTGAATTGTGTTTTTCTCCTCTTCCGACTCATTTTCATTCAGGTGGAACAGCTGTAAGCAGAACAAGCAAGGAGCCAATAACTGTACAGCTAACCAGAACCAGACGCCATCCCCTGAGGGGGAGAAGCTGCACAGCGACAGCGGCATTTCTGTGGACAGCCAAAGTCTGCAGGAGCAGCAGGGCCAGACTCAAGCACAGACAGGTAACACACGAATATCTGTGCCATCAAAGGGGCCACTCCCTTAATGCAAAAGAAATACGACAGTCCTCATTTATCAAATTATTGTACTTAAATTGGGTGTAAGCACATCTCAGCAAAGAAGTCAGTGTTTATCTGGCACTGAATTCCCGTTAATGAGTTTTCTTCAAATTCACAGATACGTCTGATTGATAGCCAACCTGAATTTTGAGTTTCTGTGAATGTGAGCAAACTATCGGCTGCACCCTAAACTGTCCCACCATGTCACTCAAAAGAAAAGAAGTTACTGTAGCAAATCAGCAAACAAGGATTACAACACTGACAGAGCTATAGAGTTTGTTTGTTTTTTTGGCAGCACATGCTCCTGAGAGTTTCCAGTCCAGCCCTGAAAAACCAGTTTGAGAGAATTTAGGACTTTTAAAGCTACATGCTTGCCCAGATAATGGTAAATGAAGAAAATAAAGTGGTGTAAGCAGCAGGAAAAAAGTATTTGGACAGCAGTTTTCTCTCCATATTTGGACAGTATCTTAAAGTGGTCATCTCTGGGATGTGTGATATTTTTGGTGCTAAATAATCATTGCTGTTGACCTGACACTCAGACTGTGGGGCCAGAGTTCAAGTGCCTTTTTCTTGGATTTTCTATTATGATGTTTTTGTAATGATGTTGGAAGCAGTCAAACAGAGAGGTGCTTCTTATATGTACTCCAAACAAACCACTGTTGCTGCTTCAACACTACTATTATCTACAGCCAGCTGAAAAGCTCATAGAGAGCAATAAAAATGGGTATTTCTGTTTATTCCATTATTTGAATTTAATATAATTCATTTATGAAAGTATTCTGAATTCTGTTAAAATAAAAATGTTTTTTCTCATTTAGTATTGTTTCAAGGAAAGCTCAATATACTGTAAATAAATCAAATAATTCAAATAATGAACTTGTTCTTTTCCCTCTGCAGTTGTCACCATGGATGATGAGCCTTGTTTGCTCCTTCCTCTTCACACCAGAGAGAGAGTGGAGAAGCTGCTGTTCAGGGGCAGTGAGGGAGATGACTGCGACCACATGGATGACAGCGACTGGTGCAACCTGGCGGGCCTTCTCGGGTACGAGGAGGAGCGGATCGCGACTTTCCGGCAGGAAGAGCATCCTGTCCGCGCACTCTTGTCCGACTGGGCGAGCAAGGACTGCGCCAGCATCGACACGCTGTGCACAGCACTGCGCAAGATCAACCGCGATGACATCGCCCAGAGTCTTGTGCTGAGCCCAACTGCTGCAAAGCCAACCGCCACCTCTGTAGTGTGATTTAAGCTTAACAGAGAGCAAACCACCTGAACCTTAGCCTTAAAATTCTTCTGTGGCCTCCCACAATCCACATAATTCATGCTATAACCGCTTTAAGCTGTTCCCTCCTGAAGCCAGCAGTACCATGATGATCAAATGCCATGAATCTTGATGAATCGTTCCATGTTTAATCAACAGTCCAGAAAGGAAGAGGCCAGAAATCAGATAAAACTGAATGAATATCAATTTCCTGAATCAAATCAATGCGAAAGAAGCAAAAACTTTTCATTTAACTGTCAGGATGTGCGTGTAATCAGTCATTTTCCACACTATTTAGCATTCAGCTGACCGTTTCATGTGACTTTATTAACCATGGAGCAGCAGTGGGCTTGGAACTGAAGTTAAAGTGGATACCTGGCTCTTGATCCTCTGCATCTTTATTCTTCATTCTTAAACAAGAATAGTCAGTGTGGCCCTTACTAATAGCCTTCATAAGCCAGTGTCGTACCTCTACATGTTACTTTTCAAATCCATGCTACCAAAGAGGAGTAAACGTCTCCAGACCATACCTGACAAGCGACATTACTTACATGCCATGTTACTCTTTTTGAATTTAAGTTGACAAATGGCTTGTGTCTGTTACTGCTACCGGATTGAGGCCTGCATACCACAGAGTATCTGGATCTTTGCAAATATGACAATCTGAGGAAAGACGCTTGGACGCATTTCAAATGAACCTTTTCTCCTTCAGCAAAAACAAAAGTCAAGTACAGGTATTTACTCTGCTTTTAAATATTTGTGTTAGATTTAAAACATGGAGTTCCAGCACATGTGGAATTAATCTCGATGTTGGCTTTGTCTTAAATGACTTCTGCAGACTCTTTTTTTTCCCCAGACAAGTTCTAGATGAACTGCTGGCTGGACTTTGCCAACCAGGTGGTCTGTGGGGCAGATCATTGACCGAGGCAACATGAGACTCCAGTCTATGTGCTTGGGCCTATCTGCGTAACACAGGAGCTCCTACACAGAATCCTTCATACTGACCCAGAAAAGGGAAGGACGTGGGACTCAAAACTCAAGTCACCCAGTAACAACCATGTATTCTTTATGTACATAAGGAGACAAGTGCACACATCAATTAGAGACATGCACATACTATACATACATACAGTACACACATAGACCTGCAGTATGTAGCCATGCATGCATGTACTATACAAACACACACACAGAACATGTATGTATTTGCATTGTTGTTTAGTCTAGGAGACACAGAAAACTTCAGATCCTGCCATATACTGTATGGAGCAGTCTTACAAGGGGACCATATACTGTTTAATCTCACTGTTAGTAGAAAAGATAAGGTAACTGTGTCTTTCAAATATGTCTAAAAATTGTATGATTTGCGATGTGCACTATAGATGGTGAAATGCTACATTAACAGTAAACAGCATGCAGAAACTAGCAACTCATTGTCAGCCAGTGCACAAATCCCAAGACAAAACAAATGTACATAGAGTACAAATGACCAGGATGCAAAGCAAAAACCCAGGGTTTTCTATCTTTTTTGCTTCATTTCTCAGGGTATCTTAAATGATTGTGTTACATCGATATAACACTTAATATTTCACCCTCTATGACTAACTGAACGATCTATAATTGTTCAAGAGGAGACGTTGCTTATCCAAAGCAGTGACTCTTGCGACTGACAATCCTTCAACAGGTGAATTAGAGTGGGGAAACGGGACAGAGAAAAAAAAAAGAAAAAGGGTGTCTCGTTTCCTCATTGTTTTCAACAATGGCTTCTGGATAAAAGGCAAGCCAGTAGAGACATACGTCAAAGGATGTGGGATGAATTCAGGCGAAAGGAAAGCGGAAAAGTTTTGGATTACTTAAATGTAAAGGTGAAACCCAGGAATCTGCATTTGCATTAATCAGCTTGTTTGTGTATAGAATGGCATTCCTCTGGCATTATGTGCTTTTTACTTTGTATTGTGTTGCACCTATTTGGTTTGAATTTGTCAAAGCATACTTCAACATCATAATTATAATATGATTATTGTGCTGCCAACTGATGACCCATCAGACCTACTTTTTTCCCCTTTTTGTTTATCGTCTATTTTGGGGGAAAATGTGAAGGAGCAAATAGTTTACTGTGCTAAACTTACCTATATCACCACTTCATCTGTTACTCTGGGTACAGATTGTACATTGTTACTAACCATTAGCATACTGAGCTTCATGCTGTAGTGTTACTTTAAATGAAGGTATTCTCACTCTACTCTCAAAAGTTTGTTGTATTTTAATTCCCAAATAACAATTGTATATGGTATTATGTTTCTCTTATTGTCCTAGATCGTAGCACTTACATGTGTAATTATGTTTGTCTGTTTTGCATCACAAGTGCCTGGGAACTATTTCAGGTGTCCGCTGATGTTGTATATTTCTGTTTTTGTAAGTATATCTTCTTGAGTTCTTGTTTTTTTTAAACTTGTAAATAATTTGTAATTTTCATTTTCAGTTTTTATCTTAGTTAACGCCTGGAAGGTGCCACTGTATAATATGTGAATGGGGACTTTGTTACAATATCAGTGCTGTCCAAGTTTAAAAGAAAGTCCAAAGGGTAGAGAGGTACCTTTGTGAGGTATTTGGTGCAATTGACACAAATGGGGAACACATATTTAAAATACCTAATCAGAACTGTAGACTCAAATCTCCATCACTTGAGTAGTGAAATACACTCACTCACCTTTTTGCTGAGAGCTATATGAGAAGATTGATGCCACTCTTAGACGTGTTTATGATAAATTTAGCTAGAGCCAGAAGCTTAGCTTAGCAAAAAGACTGGATATAGAGGGAAACAGTTCACTTGGCTCTGTTGTTTGTTTAATACGTTAAAAAAAAGTGTTGTGCTGTGTCAGAGCTAGGCTAGCTGTTTCCATAAGTTTCTAGTCTTTATGCCGAGCTAAGCTAACTGACTGCTGACATGTATCAGACATATACAGAGTGGTATCAATGGTGGTATCGAGTGGTATCAATCTTTTTATCTTAGTCTTGGCAAGAAAGCAATATTTCCCAAAATATCAGACTATATCTTTAAATTGAAAACACCCCATATGTGCATTTTTTTAAGTGTTGCAAGAGTAAGTATTCATTAAATAACAAAAATAGACAAACTATAGTCTAGATATGTACAACCTACTTTATTACGTTTTTCCCTTGAGGCTTTGACTCAAGGCACATGTTGCATTTTAAGTAAGAAGTTGAAAGAAATGCAAGTTCTTAGTTACCCGAAATGTTGCACAAAACTTATAGGTCTTAGTATGACTTTGCTTTGATAAATTGATGAAGTTTATTAATTAATAGTAGGTAGTAATAGGAAACACTCTTCACTTTGGTTTAACGACACCAAAGAAATTATTTTTGTTAAGTGCTTGTGTTCAATATTATCCATCACCACAGAAAGACCTTCCCTGAAAGCCTTTTGTCCATTCTACAATAGCTTAGTCAACACGACATGTCTTGAGAGTTTGTCAGAAACTGGTACTGAAGATTGGGGGCCATTCCTTGGACAGTATTTGTTTGGTTTGATCGATATTAGAGATTTAATTGGCCAGAAGTTGAATTGCTTGAACAGAAAACCCAACTGAAGGTGAACACGTCACGATATTGCACTTGAGAGTAACAAAGTAATCTTGCAGATGGTGGTGGGAGGTTGGAGAGGGGGAACTAAAAGACTGTCTTTGGAGGATGAAAAATTAAAAAAAAAAGCCCTGGTAATGTAGCTCATATTGACAAGACTGACAGTGCACCAGGACTGAATTGTACAAATGTGAGAAATACTGAATGTTCCTTGTATACTAATACATATACTGTACTATACTTAATGTGAATTTGCAAAATTCCTACCGCAGACAAGCAGTAAAACCACTAATAAAGCTCTTAAATGCACTTATGCTCTGTATTGATCCAACAATGCACACACAAACCTAAGAGCACGCACTTGCATCCACAGGAACACAGTAACCTAAATCGTAATGCACATTGGTATGGAAGCCCAAAGTGTTCAATAGTAAAAATGTATATAAATGAGATATTGGGAATTAATATTAATATTGTTATTAAAATATGATTATAAAATCTATAAATAAATTGTGAAATAATCTACTAATACTTATTATTATGACATGTTATTTAATCGTTCAGTTTCGTTCAGTTCATTGTGTTGCTTTAGCTAACAGGAAGTAAAAAGAGGCATTATGAAAAGTGTCATGAAATAAAATGTGACACTGTGCCATTAATAAATGAAGACAGACTTTTGAAAAGGGGCAATTCTAAATAAAAATTTCCATAATGAAATTAAAATGAACTCCAATAAATCTCTGTAATTATGTAAAAAAAAAAAAAAGAATGATGAAATAACATTTCATAGTAATGCCTTCAGTTTTAATATTTACTTACCTATTTCACAATTTATTGGTTCCTTTATATATTTTACACATTTTTTTTATTGATTATTTATCTTATAATTACTTATTTCTAGTACACTTTGGTGATCCACATATTTGCATGCTCCAACACAATCACAGTATGGTGTGGTCCTGGAACAGCCCTGGATTCTTTTGTATTTTGCCTTCAGGAAGGAGAAGGCCTGTGCATTTTCCTCAAGTCCTTCTGACATGTAATCCAAGCCAAATGAGACAGACTGATTGCTGGAGGCTTCAACAGTTGCAGTACAAGGGGCAATGGAAGAAGAAACGGGGCACTGAAAATGGGGCAGTCTAGGAAGCCCCCAGTACATCATTGGTTTCATCAAACTGACTGCATGAATTATGGCAATGTGTGTGGTCAGTGTAGCAATGGCAACACAATACTATCATAATACTCCAGATACCAACAGCCTGTCAACACAATTAGACTTAGTGTGGGGAGTGATACGGCAAAGTAATGGTGCATGAAATGACACATGCTATCACATAGGTTCCCACTGGTTTCATATTTTTATGTCACTGTGGGCTTAACTCACTGGTAGTGTTACAAGTGTGAAAATATTGTGAGAGATCAGTCACTGATACATTTTGGTTGAAAGGTAAATTTATGTTTTTTGTGGGAAAATATACATGTGCTGGAGAAATTGTACAGGACATCTACAGATCTTAACAGAAGATAAGCTAAGACAACACAGACCCGCCATATTTATTGAATAGATGTACTTACATCAAGGTCTCCAACTGCACTGAGGCTTAAGTGTTGTCCCTCACTTGTAAGTCACTTTGGATAAAAGCATCTGCAAAATAAGTAAATGTAATTTATACAGAACATGAAAATGTAGAATATGGCATACAACACAAAAATGCATGTAAATGTAAAACATTATATTTGTCATAATTTGTGCCACTAAGTTCTACACCCAAACTGTCAGAAAATTATGTAATAATTTTTTTTTTTTTAACTTCATGCTGGGACCTGCTCCACTGTGCCCCCCAGACCAATTCAACTTGATGTAATTAATCAACAGTCCTTAACCTGCCTACTGGCTCCTGACCTGACCTGTTTCTGCTTATTCAGATCAGAAATGGCATCAACAGGTTCTGACCCAGTCCTGGTGCCCAGGATCAGTTACTAAGTGAACCATGGTCAGAATGGAAAACACATTCCCCAGCTAACTGCTGCTAACCTCCAGTGAGTCATTAGCAAGGAATGCTTGATGTGTGAAGGGAACCATGTGTGCAGGAGTGACATGTGGTCATGAAAGAGGATAGGCCATGTTGGGTTTGGGTGACCATTTTTTGGCAGAGTGTGCAGAGTGAAAAAAATATTTGTGCTCAGTAAGTGACTCCAGTTGCTGACTCTGAAGAGCCACATCACTTGTGTGTGTTTATGTGTTAATAGCAATTTTACATCATCTCAGACACCTGATGTACATTTCGCAACTATGAAAAACTACTTCTTAATGTGGTTGACAGTGAAAACATGGAGGTAGAAGCTTCCTAAATCTTGCAACAAGATACTGTATCATTTAACCTTACAAAATTCAACCACAATACAACTTTAATTATTTAAATTATTCTGTTTAGAGTGTGGAGAGACTGAATGAGAAAACAGAAATGCATGCAAAATAAAATGATAAATGCAGAAAATGTGACTACGAAGTACTAAATTAGTAATTATCAAATAACTACAACACTTTACCAAAAAGAAAAATGAAAATATTGATATAAAACCTATATGTGTTCAAACAACAAATACAGTTGCAAATATCCAACTCAATTATAGAAGTAGGAAGATAAATAGGTAATGATTTCAATTAATATCCAGCCCTACCGCACAGTTAACTTAGCTAATTTACAACATGTTATGGTCAATTTTATGACTCAGTGACAATGTGGTCTCAGAATAACATGCGTATCCACTCTACAAATCACCACTGGGATAAAGTGAGAACGAGGAAACAGGACTCCCTGAGGACTGTCCAGAAATGTGAGGTTGTGAAACCTTTGCCATGAAAAGACCTTTCCACTGCCCAGAAGAAAATTTTACTGCTCAAAGCTTGCTCTTCTACAGCTCAGGAGACAAAATTGTGATTCTCATTTCAGTCTCACTTTAGTTTTTATTTTGTCTGATATGTTGTTTCTCATATTTTTCTCCTAAAAATTCAGTAGGAGAAATAAGTGAGGCACAACAACTTGAGACTTAAGGGAGATACCCTGCTGAACTCAATCCAGCGTTTCCTTTGTAAACAAAATTGAGCAATACTAGAGCTACTATTGAGCAATATGTGAGGCTACATGGGAAAGTGGTCTCAGACTTTTGGACACCACTGTATATAAACTAACCCTATACTGAGGTGTTCCTAATATTTTATCCATGCCATTAATATGAATTATATTAGACAAAATATTAGGAACACTTCTCAGTATATCCCAGTACACTGAAACATTACCACAATTACAATCACAGCCTTCCCCAATGACCATTAAAATAAACCAACACTCCTCAAACAGATTCAGTAAATACCGAACATTATAATCCTCATGAAGGAGGGTGTTTTGCAGGCCTGTTCCATTATACTGCTTTAGTTTCATCCAGGTGTACCTGATAAATATATATGAATTAAAAAAAAAAATCAAGGACACCTACAAATACTAAAAAAAATCAGCCCTTTATTAAAAGTTTACCTAATATACAGTTTTGAACAGAATGATAATGGGCTTATAAGCTTGATAACAATTTTGATAATCGTGATCTCTTGAGAAATAAGTGACTCCAGATTGCTTTACAAGGTACATTTTGTAACTGGTGCTAGCTGTCCTGAACAGTCCCTCTCATCTTGTAATACCACTTTGTTCCTTAAGAGATGATAGTGAGTCATTGCAGCGCGGCAGACTTATTATATAACTTACTAATAGAACTTGAGGTACAGGTGAAACTGATGATCTCTCTCCATAGCTCCTCACCCTGTGATAGTGAGTCATATGATGACCGTAGTTTTCTCAACCGATGTCCATCCATCCACTGTACCACAGTACATGATGTAAGCTGCAAGAATAAAAGAAAGCACAAATTACAAATTAATTCTTACATACAGTAACAGCATTGTGCCCAATGGAAAATACTTATTTCTAGTCAATGTCCAGTCTTTGTTCTGTGCTCATTTTAACTCTCTATCTTGGTGTTGCAGAGGTTTCAACAGGTTAAATCTTAAAAGAGTTTTTAAGACCTTTTCAATGAATGAATGCAATTTAAGAATATAATTAAAAGAAAAGAAAAAAGAACCGTGCAGTAAAATAACAATGATTCAGTTACCGTCTTTGTCATCTTTGAGTGAGCGGGGGTCTGGTTCTTCTTTGATGGGTTGCACACTCTGAGCATGTCTGTTTTAGAATTTCCTGCTGGGTTCTCCACTCTGTAAAATACATAAAAGTATAAGTTAGATTTTTTTTTGTTTGTTTTTTTTAAACGTGGTTCTTAGTTAATTTTATCCTTTCATTGTCTCATAATGGTCTAAATAGTCTCACTACAATGAAATAGCTACTGTGGTCTAAAATGAATACACATGAGTACATTGAGGCTCATTGGATCCACAGGAGTCTCAGCTTTCCAGTCATACCAAATGTATGTAACTCCAGGACTGTTTAAGGCTACAGTATGCAGAAATAATCTAATACACCATTATAGGATAGGGTTGAAAAATAACACACTTATATGTATTTTCAACACTGCATGAAAAAAACTGCATGGTTTTTGCCTAAACTGCATGTTATTAACATAAAGTGGGCATGTCTGCAGAGGGGAAACCCATCAGTACCACAGAAGCCTTTTTTATTCACATATCTTGTAATGAGATGTCAAGGAACCCGCTAGGTTTTCCCTCGCCAAAATTTAGCCTAACTTTGGAGGATTATATAGTCCACTTGCCAACAACCTAGCATGGCATGCTTTGAACCAATGGATTCCTTAGATCGTTTAGTTTCATGCCATATCAATATTTTCACTCTAGCTAGATGAGAGACAGTATTTTGGCAGGGATCGCCGGCGTCTTTGGCGGAATTTTACACACTGTCTTTCAGAGGGTGTAGCGGGCTCAGCTTTTAAGCTACAGCTATAACGGTAGCTCACAGCCACATGTGGTCTGGGCTTGAGGCTTGCTAACTTCACTGTTTGCCACATATGCTGACCATATTTGACAAAAAGTATCAGAACCAACATAAAAACTTCTCTTCAAAATGTTACAGTATTTTACCAGGTGTAACTTACCTTCTGTAGCGAGCTCCTGAGGTGTTTCTCTCCTTCTCTCTCCTGCATTCCTCCTGCCTGCTGCAGCGCTCCCACTCTTCTTCGTGTTCACGTTCGTTAAGTTAAGTTACACCTGTCAGATAATGGGCAGACAATTAATTAAAAAAAATAAATGGCGAGTGAAGCTTTCAACAACAGGTACTACTGCAGCAGAG